AAAAAAAATGTTTTGTTGCATTTTTCTCCAATATAACATTTCTTCCACATATAAGGTTTTTCTGTTCTCTGTTATAGTGATATTGTATGCATTATTGATTTTCTAATTCTCTTCCTTTTCACCTATTGTTATGCCATAAACATTTGAAGCCCACTTTAATCTTAATAAATAATAATAATTATGGCTAACATTTATTGAGTGCTTACTATCAGACACTAACCAATTGCATAAATTAATACCTTTCCTCCTTACAACAACCCTACCAGGCAGATCTATTACTAGTCTCACGTTACAGACAAGAAGACAGAAACCAGAGGAGTTTCAAGAACTTGCCCATATCAGAGACAAGCACACACGAGAGAGTGAGAATTAGCACCTGGACATTCTGGATCCTGAGTTCGATTCTAACAACTGCTCTAAATCATTCTCAAATTATTAGTGTTATGAGGCAGTATTTATTTTAAGCAGAGGCACTGACAACTTTCGCATCTAATCTTGCCTATTAATGTGGATATATCCATCACCTTGTAAAGTGCATAACTCGTAACAAGAACTCGCTGCATGTTTTTTTTTTTTTGAATGAATGAATGAATTTCTAATTTGGATGCAAGAGATTAGCAAAATGCCATAGTAGATAAATATGTTGCATTGACTCAGTGAAATGTAAGTGAGGTACAAAGTGTTTTCCAAAAATGATGGCAAACATGTTTCCCATCCTACTTGCCCTACCAGAACCTCGCCACTCCCCATCAAATGTTGAGTCCATGGCTGCTGTCCTTGAATCTTAGTGGCTCTTTGTAAGTCAGCCTCAGCTAATTAAGAGTGAGATAATTGATGCCAGATGACTTCTGAGGCTAGGTCAAAACTGAGGAAACAGCTTCTGCCCCACTCTTACTCGGGATGCTTGATCTTGGAACTCAGCCAGATTCTGGGTGGGAGCCAAGTAGCTGTGTGGAGGGGCCTTGGGGATGGCTGTTCCAGCCCACAGCTGCTGTCAGTCTCCAGACAGGTGAACACTGAGTCTTCAGATGACCTCAGCCCCAGGAGCTGCCCCTACTGATGCCACATGCAGCAGAAATGATCCACTCCCTCGGAACCCAACCCAAATGCAGATTCACGAGGTCCATGAATGCTTGCTCTTGCGTACCCACTGGGTTTGGGGTTGCTTGTTACATAGTAATAGGTAGCTAGGACATGAGACTCACTGTTCATATTTATACCTTTTAAGAAGCACTTGGCTAAATCAGTAGTTGGAAACCAATTTGTGGATTAAAACAGCATCGATTTATTTGTAAAATTCTGGTATTTTATTTAGACTTACTATCACCGGCAGAAGTAGATACATTCTCTGATAGATAATTGTCTACTTTCCGCTAGACAATTATCAATGTTTTAACTCCTAGGATGAATTTACTTTCACTTTTAAAAGGAATTTAGACGTACGTGTGTGTGTGTGTGTGTGAGAGTTGTACAAGATCTAAGTATCATGATCATCTCATTATCTTCTCTTCAGTTAAAAGGACAAACCCATAAAAAGTCGCAGAAATAAAAACAGCAACAAATAAACATAAATGGAAAATTTTGACCCTGAAATCTCAGAGGTTTGCTTTGTAATAATTGAAAAAAGAAAATCAAAGAGAATTTTATTTACTAATTTTATAGCTAGGCTGATTTAGGACTTGCTAGAAAAGTAGAAATATTATACTTTATTGATTTATGACTCCAGTTTTTCAATTTGTATCTTTAGTTATTGAAAATATAAATTTATCGTGCCCTGATCTTGAGAAGGATTGTATGTAAAATTGCTCGGAATCTTTACATGCATCATCCCAATTAATTCTCACATAATCCCCTGACATAGTACTAACATCATTCCATTTTCTTTTTTTTTTTTTTTTGACGGAGTCTCGCTCTGTCGCCCAGGCTGGAGTGCAGTGGCCGGATCTCAGCTCACTGCAAGCTCCACCTCCCGGGTTCACGCCATTCTCCTGCCTCAGCCTCCCAAGTAGCTAGGACTACAGGCACCCGCCACCTCGCCCGGCTAGTTTTTTGTATTTTTTAGTAGAGACGGGGTTTCACCCTGTTAGCCAGGATGGTCTCGATCTCCTGACCTCGTGATCCACCCGTCTCAGCCTCCCAAAGTGCTGGGATTACAGGCTTGAGCCACCGCGCCCGGCCATCATTCCATTTTCATAGAAGAGGACGCTGAGGTTCATAGAAGTACAGTCATACACTGCCTAACAAGGCTCTTGTCAATGACAGACCCAGTATGGGATGGTGGGCTCATAAAATTATGATGGAGCTAGGTGAGCACTAATCATCTAGTGACATTGTAGCCTTTCTATGTCACAGTGCAATACATTATTCATGTGTTTGTGCTGGTGCTGGTATAAAGAAACCTGCTCTGGTGCCGGTGGTGTAACAGTATAGCACACAATGTAAGGTACAATACATAATACTTAATAATGAAAATAAGCAACTACGTTACTAGTTTATGTGTTTACTACACTTTTTATTGTTATTTTAGAATGTACTCTTTCTACTTATTAAAAAAAGTTAACTATAAAGCAGCCTCAGGCAGATCCCTCAGGAGGTATCCAGAAGGCACTGTTATCCCAGGAGACGGCAGATCCATGCGTGTTGTTGCTATTCACTATTGCTAATGCAGTAACTTTCTTCAAAGCTGCATTGGATGAATTAAAACCAGAAATTGTAAATGCCTGCTAGAGGAACTTATGGAGTGAAGCCATGAATGATTTTAAAGGCTTCTCTGGGATCAATGCAGAAGTTAGGAAAATCATTCATGCAGCAAGACAGATTGGTGGAGAAGGGTTGCAGACATGCTTGCTGAAGTGGCAGAAGATATTGAAGGCCATCAAGAAGAGTTAACAAATGAGGAATTGGAAGAACTTGTTGAATCGTCTGCAGAGAAAGATGAAGAAATGAAGCAGAACCAGCAACATGGACATAATCGAAATGTACTGCAGTATTTCAAATTGCACAGACATTAGAAAACCAAATTATGGAATATCTTAGGATGGAATGCAGTGTTAAAATTACTCATATTCTCACTGAAGAATTGTAATCTCTGCAGCAACACTTCGATGAATTGAAAATTCACACAACATCTGATTGCAGTGTTCTTCCAGCAGGTCTCGGCAAAAAAACACAACACAACAAAAAACAAAAAAACAACCCTTCAATTCTCAAGGATCCCCAAACATCAGCATTGTCTGCTCCTGACACCCAGCAAAAAATACAGTCATGGCATGATGCTCTGGGGTCACACAAAGCAGGTGATCCTCCCCCGATGTATCATCAGGAGGGCAGTAGTAGCCGAACGATATGTCAAAACGTATACGTCATTCGCCTCCCTTCATGTCATCCCATAGGCGCTGTATCACCTCACATTACCACAGGAAGGGTGAGTGCAGTACAGTAAGATAGTTTGAGAGAGAGAAAGAGAGACCAGTCACATGACTTTTATTACAGCCTATTGTCTTAATTGTTCTATTTATTAGTAGACATGGTTGTTAATCACATATGGTGCCCAGTTTACAAATTAAGCTATATTTCCGGTATGTATGTATGTATGTATAGTAAAAAGAATAGCGTATATAGGGTTGTTTATTATCTGCAGTATTAGGCATTCACTGGGAGTCTTGGCACTATTCCCTGCAGACAAGGGGGAATTACTGTACACATTTGGAGAGATACGTTTTCTTCCATAAATCCACAGAAAATCGAGATGTTCATTGTTGGAATACCTTAAGGGCTCGCAGGACATCAGTAAGGAACACACAGCCAGCCGCACATTTTGGTGAGCCTATGGAGAGAGATATTCCCTACCTCTAAGCTGTCTGGCCCTTTGTTAGGGTGAGGGGGCAGACTTCTGAGGGCAACAAGGACTTCCTGGAGCTCCTAAATGCAAAGCTCATTTGCTTTTTATCACAAAATGTGGTCCAAAAAACAGAGTTCTTAAGACATAAATGCTATTGTCCTAACTCTTTGGGAGAAAAATCTATTTTTCAAAATACGACACAAAAGACATCTAGGAAACCATTGTGAGGTTTTAGTTGCTGTAATTAAGAGGTTTCAGACTTCTGTGTAGAATGTCCTTTAAATGATTGAGCGCCCCAAGTGTTCATGGTAAAAAGAATCTTACAGTTAAATGAAATTGGTGCTGATACGGAGACACTGAAAATGGGCGCACTTTTGTGTGTAAGTCGAATGCCCATTCAAGCCTGCAAGGGAACACTTACTCTAAATATCCTCTCTTCCTCACTCATGTTGTCATAACATAAACTGCGGTCAAGATCATGTGTCTCCGCCCAACCCCATCAAACAAAAATAAAAGGTCTGCTCCTGAAAACCCTGCCTTCGTTGCTAAATCTCTGTGTTAAATAAAGAGAGCCTAGAGCGATTTCTGCTAGGTGCCGTGATGCATTTCTCAGTCCCTTTCTCACCTGCTTGGCACAGCTCTTGTTGTGCAGTACCACATATCTCCTGTAGATGGCTCTACCTCCCTATTAGCGCCCTCTATCCTCAAGCGGCTACCAGTCTTTAAGCTCCTATTAGTAGCTCTGTTGGAGTTTGAATCAGGGACTGTGAAATGTAGTTCCAAACCTCACTGACCTAAGTGATAGTGGACACTGTTTATGTAGAAGGGAAAGCCATGAAACATTTAAATGAGGGGAGGCTGGAAAGGTCCACTTGGTGGGATGTCCTGATGGGTGGCATGGTTTAGCCTCTGCAGAGATGCACCGAGGTGCACTAACTTTGGGTAACTCTGTAGAGTCTTTGAAGCATCACAAAGCATTTTAGCATTTTGAAAAGCTCTGAGAAGTTCCGTAGAAAAAAACCGTGCTGATTTGCAAGAATTTTTTTTTAGAGATTCTACATACTAATTTTAACTATCAATACACATTTTTTTTTTCTTTTGCCTTCTGCTTCTTGTGACTGTTCCTGTCAGAAGCATTCTCCTTGACTTCATCTAATACCTTTATACGGTAAGTTTAGGGATCAAAACTACAGTATGGTAGCCACGGCTGATTTTATAAAGAAAACTTTTTGGAACACAGCCACACGCATTTGTTGACCTATCATTCCTGGGTACTGCTTCTGTGCTACAAGGGTAGAGTCGAATGGTTGTGACACAGAAGGTGTGACTTGTGAAACCAAAAATATTTACTATCTGGGCCTGCAGGGCTGGGCGGGGTCAGGGGCAGCTCCATGGTGTTCTGAACGGCATTTAGCAGCAAGGTCTTCACCTTGGTGCTGTGGGTGAGGCTGAGGCGTGTGGCCCTGGAAGCTGCTTCGGGTGTCCTTCTCAGGCCCCTCCGAGTCCGAGTTGCTCTCAGAGGAGGGGGTGAGGGCAGTGGGCACAGGGGGCCCTTGTTGTCAGCATTATCAGCACCAGCCTTCAGAAGGAGGAAGGTGAGGGTGGGGGATCCCAGTCCAGCTGCCACGTGCAGCGGTGTGTTTCCCACAAAGGTGCGATCGTTCACGTTGGCCCGGAGCTTGGTGACCAGATGGGTGACCAACCCCAGCGCCTCCATCTCTGTGGCGAGATGCAAGGCTGTTCGGCCCCCCTGCTGCTCTGTGACCTCCACTTCAGCCCCACTGTTCACCAGCAGATCCAGACACTCAGGACTTCGGGCTCGGACCGCCAGATGTGCTGGATGCAGTCCCTCGAAGTCAGGCATGTGCAACAGCTGGGGGACAGCGGGAGCTCCACTCCAAAGCAGTGCACACAGCAACTCTGAGGCACTAGCGCCTGCCTGCAGTGCCAGGTGCATGGCTGAGTCTCCACGCCGATCAGCAGTGCTGGGTCTGCACCCACCTGCAGTCGAAACCTCACCACCCTTGTCTGCCCAGTGATCACCGCCAGGTGCAGGGGCGTCTGGTGCAAGTGGTTGGTGAGGCTGACGACGCCGAGGTGCTTGGCGTGGTAGATGACGTGGGCTATCTGCTCCATGACACTGGTCGGCCTGTGGATGATGGCCAGGTGCAGTAGCATGTCTCCGTTCTCATCTGCTCTGTCAGCGGGTGGTGCCGTCCCACCAGCAGGGCTCTGTGGTGACACCGTAGTGGAGTAGGGCCCGGGCGCTGTGCTGCACCAGGCTGAACAGGCACGTATTGTACTCTCAGGCTTGCTACAGCATCTCCAAGGCTAGCGGCTCACACTGGGTGGAGGGGGCAGGGAGGTGGTCCTGGAGGGAGCGCTCAGCTGTGTGGCTTCCTCCTTGGAGTCCCTTCCAGGCACTGAATGCCAGGCTCTTTATACCACCCCTGCCCCAACAGCAGGACTCCATTGCCGGCCGCCAGGAGGTGGCTGAGGTAGGAAGTCATCCTGTGGCGGTGGCAAACACGTCATCCGTCATCCGGGAGGCTGCTGAGTGTCCCGGTGAGGAGTCAGTGGAGCCCTGGGGCACGGTGGGTGGCGCACTCCAGAGAGCCCCGCCCACTCTGGGGGGACCTGCCTACTAGCCTGGGGTGTCCGCCTGAGCGTGGCTCAGGGCTGTTTCTCTGCTGAGGCCCTTGCTAAGGAGGAAAAGCAAAGTGACGCAGCGGGCCACCTCCAGTCTGGAGGCACCCGAGCCTTACAAATGCCCTTCCGTGAGACTTGAGCACAAATTTATCATGATCAGCAAGGCCAGGTTCAAGGAGGACAGTGGATTTTCATCTACCAGCCCTTGTCTGCCACAGACCTCCTAAATTGGAAACAACATACTGTCTCCTATACGGAAAAGCCTCAAACCCTCACAGACTTGATGAGGTCCATTTTTCTGACCATAACCCCACCTGGTCAGACTGCCACCGGCTCCTTTTAACTCTGTTCAACACAGAGGAGCACAGGAGAGTGACTCAAGCAGCCCTCCAGTGGCAAGTGAACACTATGCCAGATGGTACAAATGATGTCTGGCATTATGCCCAGGAGTGGTTCCCAGAGATAGACCCCAACTGGGACCTAAATGATGCAGAGGAGCTTCAGCATCTGCAAAGGTATCAGGGGCACTTCTAAATGGGATAAGAAGTGGGAAGAAAGCAATGAATATAGGAAAGATGTTAGAGGTGCTCCAAAAGACTGACGAGAACCCCAGTTGGTTTTATGAGAGGCTCTGTGAGTCATACCAGCTCTATACTCCATTTGATCCAGAGGCTGCTGAAAATCAGCGCATGGTGAAGACATCATTTCTTAGCCAGGTTCAGGGTGACATTAAGCGGAAACTTCAGAAACGGGAAGGTTTCTCAGGCATGAATGCTACTCAGCTTATAGAAATGGCTCCTAAGGTGTATGTTAACCGTGAACAAGAGGAAAAGAAGGAATCTGAGCGGAGGCTTAAGAAAAAGGCTGAGCTATTAGTGGCTGCCCTGGTTGAAAGAGAGACTGGCATTGTGAGGGGGATGGACATGGTCGCAGACATGGTTGTGGAAGAGGTTAGTCTAGACCAGGTTTTGAAGGCTGGAAAAGGCTGGAGAAGGATCAATGTGCATTGTGCAAAAAGAAAGGACACCGGAAGGATGAATGTCCAGAGAAAGATAAGGGCAATAGCCATGACCAGGGAGTTTGACTGGAGCCTCTGGCCACCAGCTGCTGTGTTCTGAGACCGGACATCGATCTAATCAGCCTAGCACAGGTAGCAGGCTATGAGGACTGAGACAGACTGGCCTCCATTTCTTTGGGCCCCCAGGAGCCTATGGTCTCAGTGGAGATGGGGGGCCAACAGATGGACTTTATGGCAGATACCAGAGCTGAGCATTTGGTAGTGACGCAACCTATAAGGCCACTATCCAGGAATTACACAACTATTATTGTGGCAACCAGAGTCTCGGAGAAGAGACCCTTCCGTCAATCAAGGAAGTGTATTATTGGAGGATGAGAAGTCCAGCATGAGTTTCTATACCTTCCAAATTGTCCAGTCCCCTTGCTAGGAAGAGACTTACTCCAAAAACTGCAGGCGCAAATTTCTTTCGAGCCACCAGGGAACATGTCTTTAAACCTGAGTCAGCCAAAGACTATGGTATTAACCCTCACCTTCCCAAGGGCTGAGGAATGGAGACTATATGCAGAAACAGCACTTAGGCGAGAAGTGCCAGGACCACTTGAAATGTATGGATTACTTGCAAAGATTTCGGGAGTGTGGACTGAAGACAATCCACCGGATTGGCTGTAAATCAGGCACCAGTCTTGGTGGAGCTAAAGCTTGGAGTGACTCCGGTATGGGTTCGTCAATACTCGTTGTTCATAGAGGCCATAAGTGGCATTCAAAAGCACATAGATTGGATCTTTAAGCATGGCATCATAGTGAAGTGCAGGTCCCCTTGGAACACACCCCTTTTGCTGGTATGGAAGCCAAATTACCAACATAGGCCAGTGCAAGATTTATGCACAGTGAACTGGGCTACAGTTTCCATTCATCCAGTGATACCTAACCCACTGGATGGTTGGTGGGTCATGTTTCCACAAGCGCTGCGTAGTTTACTTGCCTGGATCTCAAAGATGCATTCTTCTGTCTACTGCTGGTCCCTGTGAGCCAGCCTGTCTTTGCATTTCATTGGGGAAAAACTCAGCCCTATTATGATCCAAAATTCCAGCCTGGGATTTGGTTTGAGATCCATAGTGGGATGAAAGAAGAGAGGCTTCTAAATCAAGTTAGAGTCTCACCTACTCCGAGAGAGACTCAGCTCTGTACTGTAATTCTTGTCAAGTGGCATTCATGGGATCTGCCTATCCCATACTCTCAACTACCACAGGGAGTTCAAGGAGTAGCAGTTGTGGAAAAAGGAACTGCATGTTTCCTAACTGCACCAGCACGGTGCCAGAATTAACTTGCTGGATTGTGTATTGAGCTCCACCGGTTCCCTGACTACCACAAAACAGCCCATGGTATATATTAAACTGTTAGCAAAACCTGATTGCAGAACAGATGGTTGTATTCTTATAAATCTCACTATCCTGGAACCAGAGCACTCTGTATGGACTACAGGTTATCCCATAATGCTATAAAATGCGGCCAGGAAACAAAGGATAGCTTATATATTATAAGGAAGGTAAAAACCCATTCCATTCCACAATTCCAGGTCCAAAAGGAACTCCTCTCTCCAACAAAGAATCTGTTTGTCCAAGTAGCTGAGAATATAGCTGACAGCCTCGGAATGTCCTCATGTTATGTATGTGGAAGAACTAACATGGGAGATCAATGGACATGGGAGGCAAGGGATTAATGCCTCAAGATAGTTTCACTTTGCCTGTCTCCGCCACTGACTCAACTGTTTCTGGTCCAAGTGTCTGGCTGTTAAAAACCTCCATAATAGGAAGATTCTGCATTGCTCATTGGGGGAAGGCGTTCACAGATCCAGTAGGAGGACTTACTTGTCTAGGGCAACAGTATTATGATGAAACTAAAGGGAAGAGCTTACGGCTGTCAGAAAATAGCACCTCATTACCTGATTTAAACTCTTTCTCCTGATTTCCTACTTTAAACCACTCCTGGTATCAGCTAGAAGCTCTAAACACCTGGCAAGCACCCTCAAGCCTTTACTGGATCTGCGGAACGTGAGCAGATAGACAACTGCCTGCCAAATAGACAGGAGCCTGTGTACTAGGAACAGCAGACCATCCTTTATCCTAATGCCCCTAAAACAAGGACAGGCTCTAGGATACTCTGTTTATGATGAAGTTAAAAGAAAAGTCGAAAGAAGCTTCGATACAAACATAAAAAAGGACACAGATATAGGGGATTAGAAAGAAAATGAGTGGCCCCCTGAAAGGATTATCAAGTATTATGGACCCGCCACTTGGGCACAGGATGGGTCATGAGGATACTGTACCCCTATCTATATGCTCAACAGAATCATAAGGTTACAAGCTGTTCTTGAAATCATAACTAATGAAACAGCAAAAGCTTTAGACTTGCTAGCCCAGCAAGCCACACAAATGAGGAATGTCATCTACCAGAATAGACTAGTATTAGATTATATACTGGCCCAGGAAGGGGAGTATGTGGAAAATTCAGCCTAACAAATTGCTGCCTAGAAGTTGATGGTAATGGAAAAGCAGTCATGGAAATTACTGTCAGAATGCAAAAACTAGCCCATGTTCCAGTTCAAACCTGGAAAGGGTGGTCTCCAGACTCCCTCTTCAGAGGATGGTTTTCATCTTTTGGTGGATTTAAGACTTTTATAGGGGGCTTCTCAGCCATCCTGGGCGGGTGCCTGATACTCCCTTGTCTCTTGCCTCTCCTAATCAGGAGCGTTCAGTTGACTATAGAAGCGGTCGTAACCAGGCAAACCGCTAGTCAAATAATGGCCTTGACCAAATATCAATCACTGCCCAAAGAGGAATGTGCGCCACCCTATGAAGAAATAGAAGATAGTGGTGCTTTCTATTAAATATTGCCTTTATGAAAAGCACCAAAGGGGGGAATGAAGTAGAAAATTAAAAATAAGTTTCTGTTTCCTACGACAGAAAGTTGTTATTTAAGGGTCAACCTTCACCAAGTGGGAAGTTTAAAAAGAATATTAACGGCCTGTCTGTGAACCATTAACCGTATCTCTCCTCCACATACTTTGCAAGTTTGTAAATTCCTGTTTTTTTCTGCTGTACAGCTGCAAGGTCACAAAACAGATAAGCACAGGCTGCAAAACGTGTTTTCCCAAGATGTGAGACATGTCATAGAATGATTAACTGCCTTTGTTCTTGCTTCTGTAAGCTTGCTTCCTGCATCACGTTTTTCACGCCCTTGCTTGCATAAAAATGCATGTTCTCTTTGTTTGGTGCTCAGACTTTCTGGACACAGGTCTGCTGAGCTGGTGTACACCTTAATAAATCCTCCTGTAACCTTATTGTTCTCTCCAGCTCTCTGATTTCCCGCTACAAGCTGGTTCCTGATCCACTCATCATTTCCCTTACAGAGCACTTTATAAACCATTTTAAAGTGATTTAACTAGCAAAATTAAGTATGTACAGCACTTTGCTTTTCATATGCATAATGAAAAATAATTCTCTTAATATGTCAATTTCTGGGCTGAAAATTATTCAGATAAAATTCAATATCCATTTTATTTTATTTTTTTGAGATGGAGTCATGCAATTTGTTTTCTTCAGTACTGCTTAAAATAGCAATGTATTACAAAGAACCCATATAATGGATGTCATAAATAAATTTCCTAAAATTCACAGGATGTTGTAATAAGGAACCTTTGAAGCTGTCAACAGATACATCTGTATCTGTTGTATCTGTATGTTGGTGTGTGAAGAT